TGGGGGGCGCGGGAGCAGCGACGGCGGCAGCGGCGGGCCTCCGCAGCTGCTGATACCCTGAGGGCTGGAACGAGGGCAGGGGCGGGACCTCTCCAAGTAGAAGGAGGGGCTCTGGCTGTCCACATCGTCTGTGTTCTCTGCTAGACCCCACTGTTTCGTTGGGGATGATTCCAGCATCAAAACTCTGTCCCCAGGCCTCTGCCTCCAGTCTGAGATAGAGGAAGGTGGAAGGCCAAGTAGCCCAGCCCAAAACACAGGAGTATGTGCATGACGGGCATGGGTGAGAAGAGGGGGCAGGGAAATGATGTCAGGGGGCAAGGAGGCCTGCTCCCTGGGAAATTGGAATCCATAGGCAGAGAAATCCACTTCTTATGGGGTAGGGAGGCGCTTGCCTGCCCAGCCCTTGGAGGAGAGCATCCTGCGAATCATGGGGTGGTCCTGAGGAGAGGGGGGGCCTCCATCTTTGAACACAGTTTGGATTTTGGATGCAGTGAGGGTCTTCTCAGAAAGGAACTCTGACCCTCCGGAGGGATGGAGCCAGATTGTGGCATGGAGATTAGGCTGGGTGAGCTGGGTTAGCCCCTACACCTGGCCAGAAACCCAGAGTGGGAGGCCCCATGCCCCACTTTAGCCTCACTGTGTGCCTAAGCCTGATGAAAGAGGGCAGGGATAAGCAAGGGGTGGTCTTGGAGAGGGAAGGGAGGCCCCCTCAATTGACCAAGTCAGAGGAAAGACCTGGCTCAGGGCCACATCTCAGATCTGGAGATGACATCAGGGTCCAGGCTTTCCCAGCCTTCCCCCCCCCAGAGCTGCAGTTTGTGGGTCAAGAGGCCTGAGGCTCAGTGGACAGTGCAGGTGAACATAAGAAGCCCTTGGGAGGAGGCTGTCTTCTGACAGGAGGGTCCCTTGGCCTCTAGCCAGCCCTGGTAGCCTTTCCCTGTGTATCACAACCCACTATTCCATGGGCCATGGCTATTACACATGAGGCATCATGTCTGAGGGCAAGAGGCGGGAGGGCACATCACACTGGGGTCAGAGATGTGCTGGTGTCCAGGCGGCAGACACAGTAACAGGGATGGGGCTGGCAAAGGAAGGAGGGGTCACCCCATTTCCACTGGCCTCTCAGACCCCAGTGGACAGACGAAAGAGCAGTTCCAACTGAAGAGGGCAGAGAAAACACTAAAGTTTGTGCACATGCCCTCCCGGACACATTCCTGGTCTGAATAGAGCATGCCTGGGCCCAGACCTCAGTCCCCGGTTGACCGGGGGGCAGGCTGGCTGAGGACGAGGGGGGCAGCACAAGCCCATGAGAGAAATCGGACTAGTCATCAATGGCCAGTTTCATGCCCAGCTAGCTGGTGTTGGTGTCTGACGGGGTGGTGGTGGCTGCTCCTCATTTCCAGCCCTCCCTCCAAGACAGTGCTTGTGCAAGGAGCGCTGACATCCAGCTCGGCACCATGAAGCTGGGTCAGGAAGATGGCACCAGGGATGCCCGCGAGTCTCAGAACAGCAGGGGCTGGAAGCAAGCACTGGGGTGGGCTGTCAGGTGGCTTCCTTGCATACCTAACTTCATACACCTGAGAAACATGCCTGTCTCGCCGGTCACGGGATTCTGTTCTCCTTATCTGATGCTGATTCCGCAGGCAGGAAAACCCAGGGAACCCGTGGCCCTCATTCATGGCCCGAGCCCAGGCTGACCTGCTCTCCCGAGGCACACAGGTGGACACGAGTTTGTTAGGTCCCTCCTCCCCAGACTTGCTCCTAGTAGGGAACAGAAATGTGTATACAAGTCCACGTCCAGCTGCCCCTCCTCCTCCCCACACCCCCATTCCCCACCCTCAATTGGGTCACCCCACCTTCTTGCCCCACACGGTGGCTCTGACGCTGTCCCACAGGCAGACATCCTGGATTGGAAACAGCTGTGTGACATCAGGAGCATGACTTGACCCCCTCTGTCACGGTTTCCTCTCTCTAAAATGGGGATAATAAGGAAACCGCATAGGGAGATGATCAAGTGAACTGATGTGAAGTGAATGGTAAAGGGGCAGCGGCTGACAAGGAATTTGCTGCCCTTATATATTCACAGAGCACAAAAAGCCTTCCTGAAACATGCCAAATCCACAACCCCACACCCTGCAGATGCACAGAAGGACCACCCACACCCTTGCTGACACTGATGCCCACCACCTACCGCAGCTGGGCAAAACACCCTACCCAGAGCCACTGCTTCCTACTCACACCCACCGGGAGAGCAGGGCCGATCACAGCTTCCCTCCTCCAAGAGGAGCCCACTTACCACCCCCAACCCATCCCCGCCCCACGTAGAGTCCTGGACTCAAGCTGCTGCGCTCAAACATTGCATAGGTCACGATAGTGCAGCCGGCTCTTTTCCCGACTCGATCGCATCCACATACCCCCATTTCCTTTCCTCCCATCCTCGCCCGCTCAGGATAGCACCGGGGGTGCATCCCTGTCCCGCCGCCCGCGCTGCTGCCCGTGTGATCCCAGTCGGCCATCACGCACCCCCCACTGGAGCCCGCGCCCGCCCG